CCACGTCATCATATGAATCTGATATCTCTCCTGATGTATCCGCGGACTTTCGCTTCTCGTCGCTTCTTCTTCTGTTCCCCTGGCCGGTCCAATGCAATCACCGACTCACCAGAAACTCGGTCAAGAGAATTCTCGGATAATTACGACGATGCCACTGTCACGTCGACAAAGAAGAAGAAGACGACGAATTATGATACTGCCGTGACTACTACTACGAGGCTTATAAGCGGAGGAACCGCCGTGACGCAAAACGTGGACTCACCGGATCCGTTAACTGACTTCCGGCGATCAATGCAAGAGATGATTGACGCCGCCATTGACGCCGGAGAACTTAGCCGTGATCCGAACGATGGTTACGATTTCTTGGATGAGCTCCTACTCACTTATCTCTCCTTGAATCCAACCGACACACACAAGTTCGTCATCAGGGCTTTCTCCGACATATTGGTCTCACTCTTGTCTGAAGAACGCCGAATATGCTGACGTGGCGGCAGCCGCCGGGATAAAAACGCCCGTGTATTGAATGCAACACGTGACTATTAGTTCAGTGAACCTAACTTTCTCTTTTTCCATTGTAATTTGTACGTCTTCATGGAAGAGTAGCTAAGCAACCCAAAAAAATTAATACTGACAATTTTATATTTTGTATGTTTTTTTTTTAATTATTGAATGATGAAAAGGATAGAAATTTTTTGAGATAATGTGAAATATTTGAGATAATTCATATATTTGGTTGGATAGTATAAACTATAAAGTTAGATATTTTGTTGACGAAAATAACTTTTTTAATGATTTTCTAGTTTTAAAATGAAATAAAAAAATCATTCATATAAACAGCACATTAAGATAGCGGACCGGGATATCAAAACTGGTCCACTCCCATGTTCGAGTGAAACGGAAAATCAAAACATGTTTTTGTGTTTAGCATAACTATTGGCAAAAAAGAAAAGCACTAGAACTAGTAGTAAATTTCTAATGATATGGATAAAAGTAACTTGTTCGGAGGTATAAGATATAATTAAAAAATGGTTTTATAGTTAAATTAAACTTATGTATTAACAAGTAAATCAGCTAAATACGGCCAAAAAAACTTTATGATAAGAGTTAAAAAACTCGGTTTGATCAATGAAGCATAAGGTTGAGTAGACAACAATATCACCAAGGTACAAAGCTTGAGGCATCGATAAACTCTCTAGTTGCTTATATATTGTCAAGGCATGCATGGATCGTGTTTTAAATATTACTATGTATCCATACTTTAATAAAGGGACATATATAGTTAATCTTTCTACACGATATAAAGTAAAACTTTGCTTTCTGTATATATAAATCAAAATTAACGATTACTTATTAGTCTACCTCATATGATATCTAAATTTCTTCTGTACGTATAGAATTCACATTGCCTTCATGGTTGTATCCATGTATCAGAGATGATCAGCATTTGATGTTAAATATTCATATTAGATTTAATTTTTCTTTTTCTTTTTTTTCGTATGGAGCTAACATCGCCTTTCATGGTTGTATATATAACATATACATGTATCAGAAGTCAATTTTTGTCTTTGATGTTTAAATGTTTGAAAATGAAAATGCATGGAGCTATATATATGTATCGTTAAGAAAACTAAAGGAATGATACTTTTTTTTGCTTATTGTTTCTGTACAAAATGTATGAAGTAATATTGTTTATACATCAATTATATATTGAAATCTATTCTTCTCTTCTGCTTCTTTCCATTAGATTTACACGTGACACTACTCCGTGGCAACACAACATAATTGAGATCCTAAGAGACGGATGTTGGAAGGTCCACTCGACCAAATAAACTAAAAAAAATGTACGTTATACTAATTTATAAGGGTCTAATTTTTTTGTCCAAAAAAAAAAAAAGGGTCTAATTTATTAAAAACAAAGTATTAAAAAGTTAGTTGGTTTAGGTGAAAGTAAGACTATGCCATTTGTCTTATTCACTAAAGGGTTAAAACTAGCCTCTAGACCCGCTCAATTGCGAGTAAAACACTCAACTTAATCTAATTAATTTAGTAAGAGAATAGTATACACTTAAATTATACAGGTCTAAATAGCTCATATTCGTTGACACTTTGAATAGGTTATACGTATGTGTAAATTTCGGCAAAGTTAAACAGAAGAAAACTAAATCTCATTTTTGCAATGAAGCAATGAAATAAGCATGTCTTTTATTGCAAGAAAGGTGCATATGTGTGAAATTTGCAACTAATTTGACTATGATGTTATATATTTGTAATCAGAGAAAATGTGGGTTAATATTGTTAAATCGCCATATATTTGTAATAACTAACTAAGCTTTTGCATAAGTTAACGACCCAAAACGTCTACAATAATAATAAGGAATCTTAATTATACTTTTCAAGTTGGTAAATGGTGCCTGGTTTTCTGCCGCTTGTCTCCACCTCTGCCTAACCACTTGGTTGATAATGATGATAAGTCAATAGAAATTTACGTTTAAATATATATATATTTAAATATATATATTTTGTTTGTTAAATTTATAGTCTATGTCACTATGTGTATTTATTTATTTTTTTGTTAAAAACTATGTGTATGTTTGTGTGAGATAGAGAGAGTTAATTTGGGTCAAACGTATACAGTAGAGTTTCATATGTCCATCTCGTTGCGAATTTAAGGTAATTTAGATAGGAAATTATCTGTCAACCACCTCACTGTTTTAAACGAATCACAAAAAGAATCCGAGAAGAAACAATTTGCTTACAAGCCTTTACCCGAACAATCCCGTAAATCACAGAATACGTGTGATTAGTTACATCCCATAACGTTAATGATATATTACGAGTTTAATTAGATGATTTTTATTTACTTATTTATAAATGGAAACATGCATCATGCATGATATTTTCGGCAAAATTATACAATTACTTTTGTTAACCACAAGGTCGGAGGTTCGACCCCTCCTTTCAGCGGTCTTATCATTCTTTTTAACCTATTAATCACCCAATAGGAAAAAATTTCATTCAATATAATGTCCTACACAGATCAGCAAATGAAATCAACTCGATAAAAGTGTAAACATTCCAAGTTTCTCAAAGTTTTAATCAGAAGCTCAAAAACAGTTAAAGACTTGCAACATATCAGAAGCTCAAAAGAGGGTGCCCAAACTCTCTAGTTTATTATACAAATCTGCAGAAACATTATTACTTCATTACACAGATAAACATTGTTTACCACTTCAACAACAAACCCAAAACACACAAACTCTTCTCTATACGAAACATTCTCATATCTTACATCATAATCTAAAATCTATCACTTAACATCATTTTATTTTAATCTTACATCTTCCTCTGAAGAGTAATCAAATCAAGAGTAGATCCATATTTCACATTCAAAGCTTGAGCACACCAACCATGTCCATCATCAACTGTAGGCATCCTCACCTCAATCACAGGAACCACCGGAGTCGAAGATCCCGGCATCAACACAGCTGCAAAAACCCGTAAAGCATTCGACGCATCGATGTCCATACAAACATTGATCTCCGGAACACCTTTAGGCGCCGGCGGAATCCCAACTATCTTGAAATACCCAAGAAGATGGTTCTCTTCAACAGTCTCTCCTTCTCCTTCGTATATAATGATCAGAGCTTCTTTCTGGTTGTCTTGAACCGTTGTGAAGAAGAGGTCTTTCCGCGCTGGAACCATCGTGTTACGCGGAATCACGGGTATGAATTTGTTTCCGTTAGCTCTTACTCCAACTGCAAGAGGTGTGGCTTGTATGGTTAAGAGATCTAAGCTCCCAAACGGATCATGAATCCCTGAAGTCACCGCACCTTCCAAGGCAGCTCCCCTAACCGCAGCTTCTAACGGATTCACGCCTTTGTAAATCTCATCTTTCTTGCACACGTTCTTGATAATAGTTCTTACTTTCGGGATGTAAGAACACCCTCCAACCATTATCACATCATCGATATCACCAACCTCGACTCTCGCATCTCGCAGACACTGCACAACAAGTCTCTCACATTCCTCAAATACCTTCTGGTTCACTTTCTCAAACTCCAATCTATCAAGAACCTTGGAAATCTTGTTACCGTTTCCCAAATCCACTTCAATTTGGACATTTTCTTGATCCGATAGCCTGTGAATAGCGTCCTGTGTCGCTACACGGAGCAACCCCGAAGCTTCTTCAGTTGGTGGCGCAATATGGCGCATTGTGTTCTGCAAAACGTCTTCTCCTCCAATGGGGCTTCCAGCTAAAGCTTTTATCTGTGAAACACCACCAGCAGTTGCAGTAACAGCAACATCGCAATAACCAGCACCCATATTGAATATAACCGCAAGCCTCTCGCTTCCGCTTCCCATGTTATCGTGCGTAGTCATCTGCTGCTGTTGCGCATAAAGTAACGCAATTGCAGTTGGTTCTGGCATCAAACGAAGTACATGAAGTCCAGCCATAGCACAAGCACGTTCAATCCGTGTGAGCTGGAACCTAGAAAACGAAACCGGAACCGTGAGTACCACATTTCTCACAGGCCGTTTCAACTGAGCTTCAGCCATTAGACGCAATTCCACAAGGAATATCGCTAAAACTTCCTCAGGAGTCGTAGATCTCCAAGCATTGTTCACCAAAGCCGCGATAAACGGTCTGACTCCAATGTCAAGAGTTTGAACCAAGAAAGGAAGGTTCTTGCTAGCGTGAACCACAGGATCAGTGTCTGCACGGCCAATGAGCCGCTTCATGTTGAAGATAGCGGCTCCAGTTAGCATTTCCTGCTCGTGTGCGAGCTGGTTGCTAACTCCACCAGCAGGAACTTCGTCTTTGAAAGTTACAAATGATTTGATGAGTTTCTGGTTTCTTGTGTTCCTCAAGATGTGAACTTGAGAGCCGTTCCAAACAGCTATACTGCATTGAGAAGTACCAATGTCGATACCAACGGCGATTTCGGGTAACGAAGGAGAAGATGATGATTTCTCCTCTCCAGTGTTTTCACTGTCTGATGCTACTGTGTATTCTTGTTCTGCCATTTCCTGCAAATTTTTCAGATTCAAGATTCAAGGTCTGAACATAGACAATATGATACTTAGACATCAACTACTGGTAAGAACGGCTTAAGATATTCAAGATTCATCAACACAATCGAAGATTTGTCCTTTCAAGATTTCATCAACACTACAACACTCAACATTCTAAACATACAAAGAACCAATTCTAACACAAACTGAAACTAATTTTGAAGTGTCTTGTAGGATTTTATCAGGATATGACACTCCTACGATCCCACCCATATAAGATTCGAAATTGACAAATAAACTTGAATCAAATAGACTAGTAATCAGAAAAGCTAACGATCGAAATTTCAATAAGTACAAGAACTGAGCTAAAACCAAACAAGGTGTTATGCAAAAAAAGAGGACTCGGAAACAACAAACCTGACCAAAAGGAGAGATCTTTGACAAAAAAAAAAGAGAGGGTTTGTTTGTAGCTGTTGCGGATTTAGAAGAAAAGGGTTTGTGAGTCGAGAAGAGCGAAGCGAAGAAATAGAGCAGGTTTTAGAAGGTGCGAGAGAAAGATTGTTACTGTGCTTCCTTCGTCTTCTAGAGTTTGCTAGAGAAAAGAGGAGGGAGTTCTTTTTTTTTTTCCTCGCTAAATTAATTTGCCGACCCACAAAAATAATCTAATTTACTATTTTTCCAAATTTGGGCCGATTTGAAGTAACCTTGTATATGGACTAGCCCTGGGTCTTCGGCGAAAACGGGTTATTCGGGTCGGTTGTTCGGTTATGGGAAAATTCGGTTTTTGAGAAAAGCTCCCGAATTGAACCGAAATTAATTTCGGTTCGGTTCGGTCGGTATTCGGGTTTTTCGGATCGGTTATCAAGATTTATTTCACATCCGAAATTAAACCGGAAATTTTGAGATTCGGTTTTCTTAACCCGAATTAAACCTGTATCAAAAACAAATATCAGACAATACATCAAAAAATAACCATTACAGACCATTACAGAAGCTGCTAAGCTAGCAGCTAGCATTGTATCAATCACCATATTACAGATCATACAAACACTAGAGTATTAGTACTCATAGCAAGTTGTTTGTTATACAAAAGCATGCTTATCGCATCAAAAAGTAGACAAAAAGCAGCTTCAAAGTCAGTACTATCCCGTCCATTGTTAAGGCTGCATATTCACGTCAAAAAGAACAAAAGTGCAGCTTCCTACCTACACATGAAAATAATAACAAAAATTGATCAGAAACTTAAGTATTTAAGTATCTAAGCTAACAATCTAAACTCTAAAGCAAACTTCAGCAATTAACAGTCTAAAGAGAAGCAGTTAACAATCTATAGAAAACAAGAACTGAAGACAAAGTAGTTCACTTTACTTTAACTACTAAATTAGGACAGAGTAGTTCACTTTACCTTAACTACCTGTCATACTTTGAAGATTCATGGAGGAGCTGGAGTTGAATTCTGAGAATCTGTAAAAAGAAAAACAAAGTCAAAGTAGAAAAGATTAAAAAATAAAAATACATAATCACAGAATAAAAGAGTTAAGTGTACTTACCAAGAGATTCAAAAAACTCAACTTCTTTCAACATTTGCACTAAGTTTGCTACTTGTACTTCAGATTTAAATGAACACCTTAGCCACTGTTGGGTGCATAGCAAAACCTCAATCATGTAAGGAGTTAAAGAACTCCTATAAGGGTCCAACACTCGACCACTTGTACTAAAAGCCGACTCCGAAGCAACAGATGAGGCTTGTACTGCTAGAACATCTCTAGCAAGCTCTGACAAGATTGGATACTTTGAGCTGTTACACCTCCACCAACTCAGAACATCATAAGCCAACCCCAACTTATTTTCAACTTTCACCTCAGTTTTCTCGGTCAAATACATTTGCAACTCATTGCAGCCAACATCACTTCTTCCTAACTGAGCTACCTTATCATAAAGAGACTCCATTGGCTCACAATCATCTTCATCAGCTGATAACTCACACATGGCTGTTGGTGGGTCCGAATCTGTAGTAGCTTCAGTGTCAACTGGTGGTTTGCTCAGCCTGAAACTATATTCCTCATAAAGCCTTTTCATTGCACTTGTAACAGAAGCATGAAGTTGCAGACTCTCTATTGTATCCTTACCATAGAGCTGATCAAAGCAGAGAGAAGCAAACTTCATCTTGTTGCGAGGATCAAAAACACTAGCCACAATCACCAACGGATTCATGTTAAGTAATCCATCCCAGTACTTATCGAACTTATCTCTCATGACACGAGCTTGCTTCCTCGTCTCCTCCTCAGCATCTCACACTTAGTGATGAGACTCTCTCAATATTGACAATTTCATTGTAACACATAGTAGAAGTTACTGTCTTCGATGCTGAGAAAGTCAAAGTACACTTATAGAAGATTTTCAGAAACTTAACTAACCTTTCAGCTTCTTCCCAATTAACAACAGTTGGTGGTCCTACTCTTTTTAGCTTTGTCTTCTCTTCTTCTTCAAGGAAGTAGTCACAATACAGCTTGTCTTCAACCAACATCTTCTCAAAAGCAACCTTCAGCTTAATAGCAGATTTCAGCATCAGATACACTGAGTTCCAACGTGTGACCACATCTAATGGAAGGCTGCCTCTACATACCTTACCTGTTTCACACCTCAATGCAAAAGACTTAAGTCTAGTGGAGGATGACCTAACATACTTGACTGCATTCCTGATGGCAACAATAGTAGACTTTGATTTCTTCATACCATCTCCTACAATCAGATTGAGGATATGAGCACAACACCGCATGTGTAAGAATTCACCATCTCTGACTAGTGATTCTACTCCTCGCAGCCTTAACGCATCTGTGAAACCTTCCAAAGCCCTGTCATTATTCTTTGCATTATCAACTGTGACTGTAAATATCTTCTTGATTCCCCAATCGTCGATGCTGTCCAACAGCTGTCCTGTAATGGTGGCTCCTCTATGGTCTGTGATGACCTTAAAGCTCAAGTTTCTCTTCTGCATTTCCCAATTAGTATCAATCCAATGACCTGTGATCACCATGTAGCTGTAGGAGGTAGTAGGAGACGTCCATATATCTGTTGTGAGAGAAACCCTTTGTTCCTCAACACTAAACAGAGCCTGCAAAGCTGCTTTCTCTTGCAAATAGATTGCAACAACGTCTTTGGTACACGTCCTTCTAGAGAATGTGTTATACAGAGGTAACACATTGAAACAAAAGCGCTTCCAACCCTCTGATTCTACAAATGAGAAAGGCAACTCATTTACCACTACCATCTCGTTCACTGACTTCCTAAACAAAACCGGATCATACTTGACAACCTTCAAATTCCCTTTGTTATCACCGGTTAGGACCTTCTGGTTTTCCTTCTCTTCATAGTCTTTATACTGCTTGCATCTACTTAAGTGGCCTATCATTGGACTAGTACCCACTGTCTTTGTATCACAAGCAATCTCAGCAGTACAATACTTACAGTAGCTCTTAGATTCATCTCCATCTCTTAGCAGAAAATGTTGCCAAACTACTGCTCTCTTAGCATACTTCTTACGTGGTCTCTGTGGATTAACAGAAGCAGAAGCAGCAGGTGCAGGTGTTTTACGCCTCTTCTCTGCTTGAACATCTTTAGCATTTTCAGGTTGAAGCATCGGCTCCTCAATGTTCTCATTGTGCTCTGTAGACATCTACAAAACTTAAACAATTTCGTATTAGCACAAGGAATGAGCACAAACACACAAAATATACCATAAACAAAGTTAATAACCTAGAAGAACCAAGGAGAATTTTCAGATTTAGAACTTTGAAACTAAACACTAACACTAAAATGCTCCAAATCAAAACACAACCACACGTAATAGACCAAAAACAAAGCTAAGAACCTAGAAGAACAAAGAGAATTTCGGATTTTGAACTTTGTAAGTAAACCCTAACATTAAGATGCTCCAAATCGAAACAGAGACACAAGAAATAGACCACAAACAAAGCAAAATAGACATGGTA